TCTCCTCGCCGAAGGGGCAATTTCATGGAGAAGTGCCAAACAATCTGTCATAGTTGCATCTACTATGGAGGCTGAATTGGTGGCTTGTTTTGAGGCTACAATTCATGCATTATGGCTGCTGAACTTTATTTCAGACTTGGGGTTGTCGACACCATTACCAAGCCGCTGGAGTTGTATTGTGATAATTCCGCAGCAGTTTTCTTCTCCAAAAACGACAAATATTCCAAGGGTGCAAAACACATGGAATTAAAGTACTTTGCCGTTAAGGAAGAAGTTCAGAAACAAAGAGTGTGCATTGAACATATAAGAACGGACCTTATGATTGATGATCCGTTAACTAAAGGTCTACAACCAAAGACATTTAAAGAACATGTACATATAATGGGTCTTGGTTGTATTGATGATTGATTATGATGATGTTATAGCACACTCTTGAGCTCATTGATGTTATGTTTCTGACTATTATCGAATTTTTTGTTCATTATGATTTTGTATACATTATGTTTAGAACAAGAAATGAATGTCTTCATGACAATTAAGTGGACCTTATGATATTTATATATAATTATGGAACTTGATGTGTTGAACTATTAGTGTAGTAGTATATGGAAGGAAGTATGCGAATCGAGAGTGTACAACCGCCATAACTCTCACTATATGGTTTATCATGTCATAGTTTATTATGATGTATGACATAATGGGATTTGTTTATGTGCACCTAATGTTATACTATTAAATTATGGGCTTTCGGACCAAGTGGGAGAATGTAAGAATATGTGGCCCGAAAGCATTGGGATCACATTTAATTATCCTATTGGGTCAGGCCTTTATTTAATAGTCAAACAAATCTAAGCCATTAATCTGGATATTTGATGGACGTACCAGATCTAAAGACACCCCTATATAAATTAGTCCTCTCTCCTCCTATTAGGGTACGCAGTTTTATCCCATCACTTTTCAAGATCACTAATTATGTCGTCTTTCGCATCAAGTAAGTATTTCGTGTACACCAAATTATTTATTCAAGATCCTTGATGAAGTTTACATAAAAAAGTGGAGGTATAATTTTCTTACAATTACTTATGGCATTGATACGGTCCAGGAATTTTTGCGTTTATTTTTTATTTTTATTTTTTATTTAATTTAATTTTTTTTTTTTTTTTTTTTTGCACAAAATCTGTAATGTTTATAGGTCAAATAGATAAATGTAATCTCATTTCTAACCAATATCTGATTAATAGTATTTTGTGTTATTTACTCATACAATACTTTACCGTTATAACGTGTCTCGGTGCATGAATATATATACTTGTAAATATTTTGAAGATTAAGACACAAAAATTCGAATAAAAAGCTTTTATTATTATTATTATTATTATTATTATTATTATTATTATTATTATTATTATTATTATTATTATTATTATTATTATTATTATTATTATCATCACCCCTATATATAATTCCCGAATGCGCTGAGCCTACGTGGTTACTTCTGGTGCTTCGGAATCCTATTTGTCGAAGAATCATGCTTCGTAATTAGGTTTGGACAAATAATATTGATATATTAATAATTAATAATCTAGGTTCGGTCATTCCATAAATATTAATTAGCTAACTTAGGTATTTTAATATCACTTGTACTAATATAACCCTTTAATTCTTTGTAATTTTACATAGTGAGACACTAAGTGACTATTATATCCCTGACTTTTGATTTGTTTCCTTTAGTTAACTATTGAATTGTAAATGTATTTTAAAAGTTGATAACTTTTGTATTTCTTATCGGTTTTACATATATAATATATCAAATTAATCATCTTTTAATGATCTTCGATTTGACATCCATATTGTATATATAAAATAAATAAAATATATTTATCATTACAATAATAAAAAATAATAATATTTATTAAAATTCATTAGAAAAATAAAATTATTTCTCAAGTGATATATTTATGTTTAATGTAGTTATATGTTGTAAGTTAAAAAAAATATTATAATATAACATATGTAAGCCGCACAAATAAAAGTGTCATACTAATTATATAATAATATATATATATTTATAAAAGCTATTTAAACTTTCAACTACTTTTTTTTCATTAATTTTATATTTTAAGAAAAAAATTAACAAGCACCCGTGTAATACACGGGCGTTGTACTAGTTTTAATAGACTTTTACATACCAGGTAAAAACCATAACGTTAAAATATCAATCGTCCCTTAGTTTGGAAATTAAGAGTCCTACTCCTAATCCATGTGGGATTAATTAGGAGTTTAGTTGAGTACGTGGTAATAATATTGATCATATACGAGATAAAAATCAGAAGCTAGGTTAAAATATCAATAGTCCCTCTCTCTTCTCCTAATCCATGTCTGATTAGGATTACATATTCTATTAAAAATTATCGATCGTCCCTCTATGCTCTTAATCCATGTCGGATTAGGATTACAAATTATGTGACATCAAACTATTATTATAAATAGACATACGGCAGCTGAGCTCACAATCACATTCTAAAAAAAAAAAAAAAGAATTGAAAGAAAACCAAAACGTTACATTGCGTGCATATATATTCACTCAGCTTTCTTGTTCAAGTACCAAGTATTTGTTTACGTACGCACGTATGTATGGCTATTACTGCGAAATCCGCCGTTTATTTGCTGCTTATTTTGCTATGCTTTTGCTCCCTTTCGATGGTGAAGGCTAATCCCCTTGGGATTTGCCGATTCGACAAAATCTTTCAGTTAGGAGATTCGATTTCAGACACCGGAAATTTGATCCGTGAGAGGCGATTCGGGCCCGCCACGGTCTACGCACGCCTACCCTACGGCCAAGACTTCTTCCACAGGACACCCACCGGCCGTTGCTCAAATGGTCTTCTCATGATTGATTTCATAGGTACGTATATAATATAATTAATGTTAATAATATGTTTCTTCATTAATCTTGCTTGGGTTTAGTAGTAGTTTAATTAATTTCCTAATGCAAACATACTAATTATTAATGGATTAATTAATATATTCCAGCAAGAGCAGCGGGTCTTCCTCTTCTGCACGCGTACAAGGACCCGAATGGGGAATTCAGCCACGGGGTCAACTTTGCCGTGGCGGGCTCCACTGCCTTGCCGTCCGACACGCTGGCCGCCATGCGTGTACTGTCGCCGGGCACAAGGAGCTCTCTGGAAGTCCAGTTGGACTGGCTGTCCACATATCTCAACTCCACATGCACTCATCATCGAGGTATATATATTTGATATTCGAGCACTAATTAACATGCATCGATATATCAAACCGAAATAAAGTAACAACTAATTATATATTTACAAAAATGTTTTGCTTGAATTAAATTAACAGATTGTGTGGAGAAAGTCCAGAACGCCCTCTTCATGGTCGGTGAAATTGGGGGCAACGACTACAATTTCGCGACATTTCGGGCTAAGAAGTCGATGGACGAGCTGAGGCGCATGGTGCCACGGGTGGTCGAAGCCATTCTCAATGCTGTTAGAGTAAGTCGTCCTAAATATTAATGAATATATATGAACACATGTAAAAAAATTTACGTACGTTAGGAGATTAATAATTATTTACTACCCAATAATATTTATTTTGCAGAGAACAATTGAGTTGGGGGCAAAGAGAGTGGTGGTGCCCGGGAACTTCCCGGTCGGCTGCGTCCCCATTTACAAGACGGCTTTCCAAACGAACAATTCACCCGCATACGACAATAACCGATGCTTGAAGCACTTAAACGAGTTTGCAGAGTACCACAATCGGGAGCTTCAGAATGGGATTAACAAGATGATCCAAGAAGAAAAGCCGAATGCAATCATTGTGTACGCCGATTACTACAGGGCGTACGAGTTCCTCCTTCATTTCGCAAAGCATCATGGTACGTAAATTAATATAATATATATATATATATATATAGCTAATAATAATCAAATACTTGACAAATAATGTGTAGATGAATGACTAAAATTCGAGATATATATTGATGAGTGCAGGAATGGATTCGGAGAGGGCGTGCTGTGGGACTGGGGGAAAGTACAATTTCAACACGGCTAGAATGTGTGGGGCCCGCGGAGTTCCGGTTTGTAGGAAGCCTCATAGGTACGTGAGCTGGGATGGGATCCACATGACCCAACAAGGTTACCGGATTATGTCGGGCTGGTTGGTGCGCGACTTGCTCCCCAAGCTCCATTGCCTCGAGAGTCTTCCCGGCCTGATCCCAGCCTGATCGGATAATTAACTCTATGTATGTAGGCTTCAAACCAACTTTTGTTCTGTTTTTTTTCGAATTAAACTTTCAAGTTAGTTTGAGTGTTCATCTTTTAAGCTTGGCTTGCTTTTTTATCTATTTATTTTTGGGTTTATGGGATAAATTGGTTTCCTTTTCTCTGTTTTTCTTTACCATGAATGATGTTTGTTTTGGAAATTAATGATTGTTTTTTTTAATCATATTCTTCATATTGATATACAAAATTCTTCTAAATATACAACTAAACTATTACTCAGATATATGTATACAAACAAGATTATCCGAGAATTGTATTGAACTTAGTTTGACGACATAATGAGCCAAAATTTAGCAAATACCAGAAATAATCATACAAAGAAACACATAAATATTGCCTCAAAGATGAACAAAAATACTTTGATAATAACAAAACAAAACCAAACTTTCACTATATCATACCTAAAAACTAAAACCCACCTTAGTTATAAGCCATATTACAATGAGTGAACTGTTAAAAATAGAAACCTCATTACAACATAACCAAAACAAACCTATCAACCTTTTCCACAAATCTGGGAAAAGGAACCAACAAATTTTAGCAAAATTCTTATATTACACTGTTCAAGTGCCCCTCCCTTTCTAAGCATGGACTGCCACAAGGATAAACAGGAGGAAACAAAACGAAACAATTTAATTTTGTATGACTCGGAAAATTTGAATGATGATTTTGAAGAGATGATTTTGAAGGGGATGAGATTCAAACAAACTTGGCGCTCAAATAACCATGTGTCCCTGGAATTGCAATAGGTCGTACAAAAGGTAATATTGGCTGCGAAACGGGAACGGGACTTGGCATCACATATGGCTGAGGTCCATTTGCCACTAAAGGGGCAGTCATGTAATGCCTCAGTTCTTGGGACGGCCAGTTTCCTGTCAACAAGTCTTCACGATCAACTAACCGCTCCAAATGTTAGAAAGAATGAACCAATATTCAACGTTATTTTGTGCATGTGCAAAGCTAGGAGAACATAGGCCAAAGCTATTTTGGGCAGATTGATTTTATAATGTAAACTAACATTCATATATATACACACGCACACATACACTAGTGTGTGCATGTGCGTGAGTTTAACATGAGGTTAAAGATACACACAACTCAACCTGCTTTCATTTTCTCCTCTTTTTTTTTTCACATTAGACTCGAGCAAGAACCAAATAGAAATGCTCATAGAGGCATAGAAGCAAATAAAGAGAGCATATTGTAGAAGGAACGAGTAATAATAAACTCTGGAACATTGGAGTTCCACATGTATGCTTCCTCATATGGTTAAATGCACAACTACTAAATTCCCAGAAGACAACACTACCAACCTCTGCTGACGCATGTCAATGCACTTGAACTGCTTAACCGGTTTCTATGAATCCAATATTTTAGATGACTTGTGAACAAAGAAACTTATAACTTGGGTCCTTCTACTATATAGCTCATGCATGTAAGACAATTATCACAAATGATCTACGAAATGTACAGCTACACTACCTTGGTGCTCACGAAGGTACAGCTGATGTGGAGCTAAAGGCGGTCGTGGAGTTGCTGGAGATAGCCCAGGTGCAGGCTGTACATTCAGGAAAAAAAAAA